TTTCCTAAAATGTAGTGGCTTATGACTTCATGTAGAAGTTGCCCGATACGGTCTTACACCTATTCCTATAGAATAGGATGCCCAGGTGAGGGGTCTAGTTTGTATTATCACCTAAACACTTCTTCAGATGTCGGACTTACGACTTCTATTAGAAGTGGACGGGGTTTTAATTGGGGTTAGGAGTTAGGTCAATTTCTACACCTAAAACATTCCCCTAAGATCGGGCTTACTGCTTTCCTACGAAAGTTGCCGGGTAGTGGGTCTTAGCACCAAGTTCCTATGAACGAGGCTTCCCATAGGTTTTGAATTAGATTTGAGATAGGTCTTATTATTTCCCTTAGGAAATTGCTTGAAAGTGGTCTTACAGCTTAATCTCTTAGACTAAATGCCCGCATGATTTAAATTTAGGTTGAGGATTTACAACTTTCATAGAAAGTAACCCAAGTGTTGGGACTTATAGCTTCTCATAGAAAGTGGCCCGTTAGTGAGTCTTACAACCTGATCTTATAAAATCAGACTGCCCATAAGAAGTGAATTTGATTATTTATTTGTTGAGTTTGACACCAGTGTCTTGTTTTGAGAGGTTTTACACTTGTTTTAGTGTTTTCTTGTTTGTTCTGTGTTTGTAGCCTTTTCTTTACACAACAGTTCAGTATTTTCCTGTTTTCTTAACATTTCCTGCTTTTCAGTTTTTTTGTTTTACTTGCAGTAGTTGGATTTACCATTTTCCCGCATTGATTTAATTTATTTATGCTGCATTAATTTTTGATTGTTGTTTGCAGGCAAGTGGTGCTGCAGCGATTTAGGGGATAGTTCACAAGTAATTGTAGAAGCTCGTATAGGGGAGCTTTGAAGAGCTTGGAAGAAGTTCAATTTTGCGTGGGTAGAGTTGTTTGGAGAGGTTGAGCGAGTTTTATAAGGGATTTGGGGAGTTTAAAATTTTTGAGAGCAATTTGAACAACATTTTAAGAGAGCAACATATGTTGATTATGGATTCTCTCCCCCTCCTCCTTTCTCCATTTTATTCAAAGCATTTTTTTTTTATTTATTACTTGCTCTAATTAGTCAATTAAAATGCTCCTCGATTAAATTGCTCCAAATAATTTTTTATATTTTTAAATAACTTTTGTATTTTATATAATTATAATCAATATTTTTAATTTTTTTAATTAATATTAGTCAATTAATAAATTTTGTATTAATAATTGATTAATTAACATTCAAAATTTTGATGCTCCCAATTTTAAAATTTTCTTAAAGAACGTCTTTTTTTTTTTTAAATTCGCTAAGTCAAATATTCAATATTTGGCAGCCTCCCGGCGTCACCTCCCCACCGAGGGAGAATCGGGACGCATTTGCCGATATTTTCTTCCCGGTCGGACTAAGGTCGATGACACGAGGCCTTGATTAAACACTCCCTCGGATCATATAGACGACACAGAGGTCTTCAATTTGAATTCTTCCCGACCGGATTTGAAATCGACGGTACGAGGTCTTGTATTTTAAAACCATCTCGGCCGGATCTAAGATCGACGACACGAGGTCTTCAATTTACAACCATCCCGGTCGGATCTAAGATCGACGGCCGGGTCTTCGACATCTGTTTGAAAATTCCTTACATTTCCCTTATTTTTTTTATATATTATATTATAATAAAAATATTATCATGAATATATATTTTATTATAATATACAAACAATTATATTTTAATATTATTCTGTTATATTAATATAATATAATATAGTATTATATTATTATTGTTATATTATACTGTTAATATAATATAACTTTTATATATTATTATATATTATAATAATATATATAATACATACTATATAAAGAGAGGAGAGGATGTATCGGGCTAGGGCAGAGCCAATCCCGATCGGGCAAGGAGGCGGAGCACGCACGGGGAAGCTCGGGTCGGAGAAGGCGGCGGCTCGGCGGCTGGTCGCGTCGGCTCAGGCGAGTTCGGCAGGAGTCGGTGTCGGCGACAGTCAAGCCGGCGGATGAGGAGCAGGGAAAGAGGGCTCGCGGATTGGCGTCGGAACAAGAGGTAAGTCGCAAATCCTCTTTTCTCTCCCTTGCGATTTTTTTTGTGCGTATCTGCGTAACCGTTGAATGAGATGAGGTTTTATTTTTGTATCGTGAGTATGTCGGTTCCTGTCAAGAGAGTCGGTGGACGAATCGTCGTGTCGTTTGGCGACCAACTGCCCGAGGTGGGGCCGGCTTGGAGGTAGGTCGGTTGCTTTACATTTTTTTTTTTTTTGTACAGTCAACACTTATATTCCAAGTTCATATCCTAACGAAGCTAAATTAGTATAGAACTTGGAATATAGGTTCTCTTATAGGTAAATCAATGGAATTAATAGATATTATGATTGTAGGAAGATAAATATTCTATGCATTCAGAAAATTATATAGGTTGAAGAGAAGTCTAAGTAAATTGATAATTTAGGATTTAAACTATGGTATTCTAGTAGAAGTCGTACTAGAAATGGAGTAGATGTGATTATAGATGAGGGTTTGAAGGATAATATTATAAAAATTAATGAAATTAGAGATATAATTATAACTTTAAAGATTGTTGTTGATATTAAGATTATATATTGTAAATGCTTATGCTTCTTAACTAGTTTGGATATGCATTCAAATTAAAATTTTGGAATGACTTAGAAGAATTAATACAAAAAGATACCTCTTAATGAAAGAGTATTTATTGGAGGAGAATTAATGGACGTGTTGGTTGAGTAGCATGAGTTTGATTTAAAGGGGAGGAGGGAGGAGGGGGGGGAGGGGGGGGCGACGATGGGGGGAGGGGAGCAAAAATTAAAAACACCTAACAATGCTACAAGATTTGATCCTTGAATGGAAGATGGATGGTCCATAAAATTCGAGTGAGGTTGGGTTAGAGCTAGGAGTATGAGCGGCTTTTTAAATGGTATTTGCTTTAATTGAGTAGCACAACTTATTTTACAATATCGGTATTTGCTTTAATTGAGTAGCACAACTTATTTTACAAGAAAATCAATATTGTTATTTTATTTTCTTTTTTTAGCTCAGCAATCCCCTTTGTGTTTATATATATATGAAAATATCCTCCTTGTAAAAGCTTTTTTCTATGTTTTTATTCTTGATTTTCACTAATGCATAATCTTTGTACTCCTATAAAAGCTTATCTTTTTTGGGAAATATATATTCTTTATTTAAATTTAAATTTTTATTATCTTATAAGTAATATTTACTTTTTAAAAATAATAAATGCGACAAAAAAACTTTAAAATTTTTAATGTTGGAGTCATGCTCGAATGAAAAAAAATTGTTATAATTAAAAAACATTATTTAGGCCCCCCTATAAAACTTTCTAGCTCCACCACTGGTAGAGAGATAGATGATTTTAAAAGCATTCTTGGTGGCTATGAGTTTGAAACAACTAATAAAGGTGGACAAATTGAAATTTACTTCAGCTCACATAGAGCTAATGCCTAGTCAAAAATATCAATATAATTCATTCTCAAATAATCTACTGTCAGTAAGAACCTGGTAAGTGCCCTCTGACCGATGGTTTTGCCGTCAAATGACACCACAAGATAAACGGTTATGATCCGGGGCCCTCTGAATCGAGTAGTTTTGCCGCCAAGTGGCGTCACTAAATTACGATTATGGCCAGAGTCAATACCTTCCTTAATGACATCAAATCCTTGAGATATGAATCAATAGGATATAATCGATAGGGCACAAAAGTCCTATGTTAGCTAAGGTGGATTCAAAGTTGTCCTCTTAGACAAATATAAACCCCAGGTCTACAAGGTTCCCTTAGACGAAGCAACCCATTGTTGTCAACAAGGATCCTTCAGTCAGGTTGGGTCAACTACCTCCTCTGACTAATTAGACTAGGGACCACGATGGCCCGCGACGACGGAACCATGGGATCTTGATCGGGTCTATCATCCATTCCCTCACCATCTGCTTTAAGTGAAAGATGGTGAAATTTCAAATTTTAAATATCAAACTTCCAATATCCAAGCCCATGCTGCTACTATATGCCAGATAACACGTATCTCAACGTGTCTGATCGACGACTAGTCATAATCGAAAGTTCTCTCTCGTTATCGGGAGGGGTACTTAACTATAGGGGCTCGCGCCTATAGGAAACAAAAACTCATATCATAAAGTCCTCGCAAAATGAGGGTGAAATCTCTGGGTAGTGTCTTATCTATAAACCCATCTGCCTTCCCAAAATTTATCCCAGAACTTAATCCGTTAAAACTCCCTAGAAACCGAAAAGCAAACAAGGGAGGCCGGGGCCGAATTTTCGGACCCACAATACGAAATGAGCATATACGTGAAAAGGTTGGAGTAACTCCAATGGAAGATAAGATTAGAGAGAGTCACCTTAGATGGTTTGGTGACATAAAATGGCGGCCATTTGATGACCCGATTAGGAAAGTAGATGAATTAGATTGGGCATATATTAAGAAAGATAGAGGTAGACATAAAAAGACTTGGTTAGAAAATATTAGAAATGACCTTTCTTTATTAGATTTAAATGATAATTTGAATATTAACAGGACACAATGGAGAACAAGGATTCATACAGCCGACCCCACGTAGTGGGATAAAGGCATGATATTGTTGTTGTTGGTGTATACTTTGTGTAATTTACCATTTTGCATATCATAAATAATTATTAGCATTTTACTCCAATTCCTTGCACATTCAAATTCATTGCCATAACTACAATGGGTTTACTCTCCTAAATACTTTGTCAAGTTGCAGTAAATCAAGAAGGGAGCGCATAAAAAGTGGATGCCCCTAAAAAGAACAACTTCCCCAGTTCATTGGAGTATTGCCAGTCACAGGGTCAAAAGTCCGATTTATCGATGTACAAATCATTACATGAATGATAAAGATTTGCAATATAGCTGTGTTATAATTATGTGATATTGCTACCACATATGACATGATAAAGATTAAAGCAACAAAATAAAGAAAGGGCATACACTGTGAAGGAATGCTTTCCGCGCAATATCTGACATTGTAACCTGACTTCGGCTGGCATACATTAAAGTGAAAGTGTTATAAGAATACCGCAATAAGTTTCATATTATAAATTTCACAATGAAACTAGAATTCTCAACTATAATTCTAGAAAAAGAGAAAATACAATTGCAATTGTTAGATAAACAGCAAAGATGAAAGAAAACTATATCAATAGCACAAATTAAACAATGAGAAACCATGGCAATCAAGAAATATAGACAACATGATATAATGATCCTATAATATAGAGTAGCATAGGATCATATTTTTGCAAGTAAATGGAACGACCGCATCCTCACAGGTATATCTAGCAAATAGTTTCCATACAACACACCAGTAGATTTATTTGTAAAACCTAAAGTGAATGCAATGCAGAAATCACTCCATAAGGAAACTATATAAAGAAATTACATAATACATTACAATTTTCAACATGATCATGAAAATAGATTTCTTTCATGGAAAATAAGCAAGCAATATACTGATCCAGGCCAAAAGATCACTTGAAAAAAGCTAAATTTTATTACAAGCCAAATCAAACTTTGCTGGACAATGCTCAATTTCAACTCCCCAGTTTCAAATTAGTTCGTATTAATCGGCAGATTAGAAACATCACACTAAAAGCTCTTGATACCCACAGCAATCACGCCCACTGGAAGTCCAAGTTAAGCCCTAATAGAAAACCATGACTTTCTACTTATGTTGGCGAAACATGGAAAAATCATAGTTAAAGAATTGTAGTACCACTCCACACCCATCTAAAAAATAAAAATAAAAATAAGCCACATAATCTTGTTATAAGAAATATTATCGGAGCAAAAACAAGTCACAACAAATGGTTTTCGTCGACTCACCCTTTTAACTGTTGTTCTTGCAACTCGGCCTGTAGTTGATGGTCTGCCAGGATTCCAGATGAACCTAAAGCTGAAAGTTTTTCCTTCAGAACAGCAGCTACAAGACAACAACGGTAAATGCATTAGCTAAGAGGAGAATTTTTCTGTCACCAGATGGAAATCACAAACAAATATAGAAGTAGAACTTCATCAATCAAATTGAGAGCAATCAAATTGGGGACAATATGCAAATTCATGAAACCTGCTAGAATCTCAAGGCTTGTTATTCCCTATTCAAACATCATCTCCAGCTTTTACTAAAAAAAGTCAGATAAACTACTGCTCATTCTTTCATTCTTTCTTCTTTCCTTAATCCTTACTTTATTTTTCTTTTTTTTTTGGTAGTGCTGGAAGAATTTGAAAAAGTATCCCCATCACTAAGAAAAGATCATTGAAAACTTCCATCACTAATATTGTGATATCAGCAGCACCGTGAGTTCACATACAGAAAGGAAAAATAGTATTACACCGTTGTACTTTTAATTGAAACTTTAACATGTAGATTTTGAGGCCATTTGGCTACAAGTAGAATTTAACTTAAGCAGGATGTAACAAATCCTGTAAATCCAGGTTTAAAATCGGAAGTATTAAATATTCAAAACTATTTGTCAAGGCAGATGTAATTCTAATAAATCATTTGAGTATATTAAATGATTATGAGATTTAAATAGAAACTTAAGATGATAGTAAAATCCAATCTGGAACATAAATCATGAAAAAATATTTAAAAAAAAGTATCATTGGACATATGAAGTATAAAAACACATTTTTTGAGAATAAATATATCAATCGCAATAAAACATACATTTTCAATAGTACAATCCAGGGAGGACAAAGTTTTGCTTAAAAGTGTAAAAAAAAAAGGCTAGTGATACCAACAAATCAAATCCAGGCTAGGAAAAAATAATAATCCAAAAAAGCGCCAAAAGAGAAAAAAAACATATTAATCAAACAAACTGTTGTTATAAAATCTAACATAATTTCGGGCCTAAGAAGAAGCATAAGACAAATTCTTTCTTAAGAAACATAATCTACAAGCCAATCAGACAAATAGGGAAAGTAAAATATATCCCAGTAAAACCTACGGGCTCCATTGATCACCAAACTTCCTCTCATTCTCCTACAAATCCTAGCTCTCCCCCTGAAAACCACCACAACGAAAATCAAACCACCCCTTCCATTGCTCGACTTCTGATCTTCTCCAGATGCAGCCCTAAATGGAAACATGAGAACATGAGAGTGCTCAATAAGCGTCTACTAACAGTTAAAAGTTTGAATCAGCTATTCAACCACTTGTGAGTGGCAGACTGGACTAGTTGAGAGAAAAATAAAGATAAGTCAGGAAAGCTAAATTGCGTTAAATCTAGGCTCCAAAAGAATTTATCAAATCCACAATTTACCTAGAAATAAGTTGAAAACAGAATTACATAAGATGATAAGATTAAGACTAAAAAAACTACTTCTTTGGAATTAAATCAAATCATGATTGAATCCTGCTTAAAACTTGCTGCAAAAATTCGAGGAAAAATTCTGTCAAACCAATTAATATTCCTGCTTACATGGTTATGATTTAAAAAAATTAAAATAAGATGAATGTTGGAGTCTTGTCCAGATAAACTAAGAAATTAGTTTCTGCTTATAAGTGTATCGAACAATTTAAATGATATTTAAGAAACTAAAGGCTTACAGTAGCTTGGATATATGCAAGTTATCAGAAGCTAAGAAATCCCTCCCTGAAGCCTCATTAATCTATATTTCATCACTGCGGTTGATACAATTTTGACAGGGAAAGCTTGGAAGATTAATCATAAATAACCCGAGGAAAAAATGATGATATTGACGAAGTGATGATGATCTTGATCGAAGCAATGAAAAAGAAACGGCTGATCCACTCACTAGCTTATTCCCATTTGTTTAGATAAAATTTAGATATGATTTTGACGTTCGACATTAGTTTTCCCATAAAATTTCTACTTCCACTAAGACAATAACAGAAAAGGGGTTATCAATAAAAATGAACAGAGAGGAGAATAGCAATTGTTTACGAAGTCTGCTTTGCTATTTAAAATTTATAGCAAATGCTAGCTCAGATACTAATTACAATTCATTTTCCATATAGAGAAGTTGTTAATAAGATGCCTACATCATAAGTTTCTAACTTTCTGACCAAGTGAGCTAAGAAAAGTAGAAAGAATAAAAGAATAGGAAAAATCACCAGTTGACCCCCTGGCACTTTGAAGAACAGTGAAAAGTTGTTTCCTTCCCTCCCTGGTATACGCAGCCCTATTTTTTTGCTTATCTCCACCAGGCATATTCTGTTACAAAGAGGCAAAAGAATGGAAGTCATAGCCTACCTGGCTTCTCGAAAGTTCAGATGACTTTATGGGGCAATGGTTACTTACAGTGAAGACTAATGCTGCTAGGTTTAACTTTGGATGAACTGCCAAATTTTTAACTCTTGGGAGTGGATAAACAGGTTCACCGCCCTTCTGAGACAAAATACGAGTAATGTCAATTGCTTCAATTGCTGCAAAAGAAAGAAATAACAGGTGTAAAATATCTTATGCTCAAATTGATTTGGAAAAACTCTTATGAAATAATAACTTAATGAATTGCAAGAAAATAAGTTAGTTTGCTGTTTTTATACTATGTAGGAATGCAACAGCATAGACCTGCTTTCCCCAACAACAAATTAAGTGGTAATTAGGCATGTCCAAGATGTCAATGGTTTGAAACTTCAATTAAAACGCTTACAGTGTGCTTCCTTGATAATTCGAATATTTTATACATCAAGATGAAAATGATTTATACCAGAGTTCTCCAACTTCCCATTAGATGGTAATTAGGAATTGCCAAAAATGACTTGGAATAAAAAATAATATAGAATAAGCAATAGATTATGTTTCATGTTTCATTATTCCCTATAAATCAAATGTGTGAAACAAATACAGAAGCAAGATGACTAAAGACAAAAATAAAATAAGTCAAGATTAGAAAATAATAGAATTTTTATTACACTCGTGTTACACACCCAGCCCTAGCCGACCCCCTCACTTGCAAACGACTCTCCCATCATACACCCCGCTAGAGGTCATCACTCCCGACCAGCCTACACACCTATATTCCATTATCAACCTTCTAAGTCACACACGATGCAACCCTTAGCCACATCATGCAACTCCCCGACTAACCAAACCACTAGCCCCAACCACCGCTTAACCAACTGGCCTATAGTCCTGCCGCCGGCCTTCACCGCCTTCTTCCTTTTTTTCTCCTTCTTCTTCTTCTTCCTTCTTCCTCCTCCACCTCCTTCTTCCCTTTCTTCATCTCTCTTCTCTCCCTTCTATCCCTTCTCTCTCTTTCTCTATATAAACAAAGAGAAAAATTCTCTCTTTCTCACACACTCTCATTTTTCTCTCTACCTCTTCCAACCTTCTTTCTTCCTTTTCCCTCTCTAAACAAAGAGAGAAAGATCCCTCTCTCTTCCTTTCTCTTTCCAACTCTCACTCTCTCTCATAATCTCTTTCTCTTTCTAAGTAGAGGAGAAAATAATTCTAAGTAGAGGGAGAAAAAAATTCTCTAAACAACCACCTCTTTCTCTCTCTAAATAGAGAGAGAAACTCAATTTTCTCTGTCATCATTCCTTCCCTCTCTTTTCTTCTCTCTTCAATCATTCTCTCTCCTATTTCTCTCTAGAAAAAAGCTAAACAATTTTAAAAAAAAGGAAAAGAAAAACAAAAAAGAGCCAACAACTACATCATCATCAAACCTTTATCTCATTACGTGAGGTTAGCTACATGAATTGGTTTTATCATGTGTCACCCTATAAAAGAGACAAAATTAAAAGAAAAAATAAAATGATCAAGAAAAAGAAAATTTTCATGCAACACCTCATTGACATATGGTCATCACTGTCACTGCCACACATGCAAGATATAAAACTCACAAAATATTTAAAATATCTAAAATCCTGAATACGATAGGTTTGACATGAAGAGTGGAATCAATGTGTGCTTCTCTTAGTCAAATAAAACTCATAAGCAATGTTCACAATGTAATAAGTCTTGTGGGAGCTTTTCTTAACACGGCATGATAAATTTAAGTGCATGTGCCCATCTTTCATTGCTGGTGAGATGGAAGACTTTGGCTGCAATTTTTTGCGACATTGATCATGCAAACATCTTTGGTGGTATGGTGGGAAGGCCTCGCATACCCGATGATCCCAACACAAGGAAGACACCGAGATACTATCGAAATTCAAACTAATAGGGATCCTGCACATAACAAAATAAAAATTAACATAAATTAAAAATTAAAAAATGAATTTTGTGGGGTCCCAAAATTCAACCCCGGCCTTCGCCGCTGCTTTTCTTCTAGGGAGTTTTAACATAATTAATTTTCGGGGTAAATTTTGGGAAGGCAGATGGGTTTGTGATAGGACACTACCCAGAGATTTCGCTCCAATTTGCGAGGACTTTATGATCTGATTTCTAATTTCCTCTAGGCGCAAGCCCCTATAATTAATTATCCCTCCCAATAACGAGAGAGAACTTTTGATTAAAGCTAGTCGTCAATCAGATGCATAGAATACGTGTTATCTGGCATATAGTGGCAGCATGGGCTTGGGATGTTGGAAAATTTTGATATTTAAAATTGGAAATTTCACCATCTCATACTTAAAGCGGATGTTGGGGGAATGGATGATGGACCCGATCAAGATCCTATGGTTCCATCATCCCGGGCCATCGTGGCCCATGGTCTACTTAGCCAGAAGAGGTAGTCGACCCAACCTAACAGAAAGATCCTTATCCGCAGTCATGGGTTGCTTCGTCCAAGGGGACCTTGTAGACCTGGGTGAATGCTTGTCTAAGGGGACAAATTTGAATCTATCTTAGCTAACATAGGGCTTTGTTCTCTATCGATCGTATCCTATTAATTCATATCTCAATGATGGTGTCATTAAGGAACGTAATGGCTATAGTCATGACTGGTATTTCGTGGTGCCATTTGACGGCAAAACTACTCGGTTCAAAGGGCTATGGGTCATAACTGTTTATCTTTCGATGCCATTTGGCGACAAAACCGTCAATTAGAAGACACGTACCACGTCCTTACTGGCAGGAGATTATTTGAGAATGGATCCTAGTGATATTTTCGATTAGGCATTAGCTCTATGTGACCTAAAGTAAATTTTAATGTGTCCACCCCAGCAAACTGTTGCGGATGATAGATGGGTTTTGCTTTGAATGATTTGATGGTTGAATTTCAGTTTTAAATATTTTTTATTTAAATGATTTTTTGGATTTTGGACTTTCGGATATTTGCAAGAGGATGTACCTTGGTGTATGCTTTTTGCTGATGATATTCTTCTTGTTGATAAGACTAGAGTAGGAGTTGAAAGTAAACTTGAATTATAGAGGTCAACATTAGAGACTAAAGGTTTTTGCTTGAGTAGATCTAAAACGGAATATATGGAGTGTAATTTTAGTAGTAATAGACCTAGTGAGGGGACTGTGACTTTGGGCGATCAAGTCATTAATAAGAGTACACGTTTTAGATATCTTGGATATATTGTTCAGAGTGATGGTGAAATAGATGGGGATATTATCAGCAGAATTCAAGTTGGATGGTTGAAGTGGAGGAATGCACCGGGCTTATTGTGATGACCTTTCTTTATTAGATTTAAATGAGAATTTGACCTTTAATAGGACACAATGGAGAAAAAGGATTCATGTAGTCGACCCCACGTAGTTGGATAAAGGCTTGATATTTTTGTTGTTGTTGTTGTTGTTGTTGTTGTTGTTGGACTTTCGAACATTTTGGTGGCATTTTAAATATTTGAATTAACAACTCCGATTGAGATCTGCATTCAACACGGTCATCATCGGGATGTTAATGAGCATTTGGGAATTTTATTGATTGGGCCTTGTTAACTCTGTCTACTGCTCAACAGAGGATCGAGTCCCTAGGCTTTATGAATTTTGTTAATGAATTTTATTTGTTGGAGGCCTTGAAGGCCTTATATGAACATATAAAATAGATCTTCCGGTCGACCCCCTGACCGTATATCTATTTGATAGTTCGAGCCGTGTCGACTCTTATCCATCCACATAGAAGGATTGGGCTCGAACAATATTCATTTATTAACCCGCGCAACATCCCTAAACGTCACATATGTACCCATAACACGCTCACCGGGGCCTATGCGAGTGTTATGATTGCATATATCCCTTGTGTACCTATGTGTATACAAACTATGGTGCATGTGCGGTGGTATTTTGGACATTCAACGGGTCTTTTATGAAGGCTCGTAGAAGTTCATCTTTGTCGTAGTCTTTTCAGCATTTACTTGTGGATAGTATGTTGGATACACGGCCACTATTCATCGAGGAACTTATAAGCCTCAATAATTTTATCAAACTCAATGTTCAGGACCCGGTTGAACTAAGATTCATTCCATCTTTGAAAAGAATGATTTGATCTGGCTTTCTCTTCCCAAAACTTGTATAAAAACCCATGGCCAGTACTATGAACTAACAACTGTGGTGATGGAAGATACATCAGGTTGTCTGGGAGAATCATGAGAGATATTTACTTCTAAAACAGTTGACGTAGCCCTTTAGATGATTGGGATAGCATATATATTTCTAGTTTATAATTATGAGTTCAGACCACCAAAATCTGCAATAATTTTTAACAGCTCATTTGTCAAACATGGATCATTAACTCTGGTGGGCGCGATGCAGTGTGTGTTAACATTCACTTGAATACATCTAGACGCATCACGTAGTTACTTCCACTGCATTTCGAATCCCTTTGACTACAACTAACACACTGAATGTGGGAAAAATCTCCTACAGTACATCTGCTACTATTGCAGGTAATTAAGTAGATATATTCCTTTGTAGACTAAAATTGGCTTCAGGATAATGCATTTACTGAAGTCTTTCTGTATCTACCTATAGGTGAGAGGTAGTGCATACACCTGTATTCCTAGAGGACTTGTATGAGTTGCAAATCTTGTTCATGGATGGTAAATTGAATGCATAGGGGTCTCCTAGAGTAGCTTGTAGGAGCTCCTATACTTGTATTTTATAAATTCATTTTGTATTCTGCCTGTGGACAACAACTTAGGTGTACAACTGATCTTCTACAACAGCTTGTAGGAACTTCCACATGTACTTGTAAGCCTGCTACATTAAATAGTATTGTTTGTAGTCAGGTTAACGTGCTTGCAGATTTTTAAAATTTTCAATCTTTCTGAGAACTTTCAAATTGCTAGTCTCGACAAACAGATGTTGAATAGTCTCAGAAATTCTAAGAAATGATAATTCACCATCATCCACAACTCTGAATGATTCTTGTATAGAAGTAGACTATACTAATTCTTATGATGAATCATGCATTTTGTAACATACTATACATTACTCTCAAACTTGTCAAAGAATGATTTCTTGATCAAAGAGTCAAAGATATCCTCCACGGTATCTCCTCGAATATAAAGGGAGTTGAATGAAACCCAAAGCT